AGTTCTCTTGGCAGTAAGCTGTCTCCTTTTCAAAAAAAAACCTTGCTTCTGCCGCCTCGTCTGTGTTCCTGAGTGATCAGCAGTGACGATAAAGCCAGCCTTGTTGGCCACGGACTGAGGTCCAGACTCAGACCTTGCGCAGGCCGCGTAACTTCCCCCTCCCTGCATCCCGCAGGAGGCAGGTGCTGCCGATGCCCCATCCCGACATGAGGAATCAAGGTGTAGGCGGCTCGGGAACTGGCCTAAGGTCACGGGGTCGGGAAGTGGTGGGACCCCTGGAGCCCCTGCCGCCCCTGCCACCCGGGGCTGCTCACTTAACCACGTGGCCTCCACAGTTCCCTCAGCGGGAGGAACCGGGTGCTCGTCGGGGGAGGGCTGCAGGGTGACACGGGTGGGGTCGGGGTATTGGGGTGGCGGGGATGGGGACACCCTCAGTCCCACAGACAGCCCCTTGGTGACTCCACTGAGCCACAGCGAGAGCCCCCGAGGGGCCTTGGTCCCACCTGGCCCCTGCTCTGCCCCGCCGTTCAGTGTGAGTCGGACCTTGTGCAGAACACTCTGGCCGTTCCCAAAGCACTCAGAATAAAGCCAGAGTCCGGCCCCAGCCTGTGACTGGCGGGTCCGGCTATGCCGTCACGCCGGCCTCCCACCTCGCCTGGCCCTTCTGCTCCAGACCCCGGACGCCGCCATCTTCTCCGAACTCCCTGCCTCAGGACCTTGGCGCCTGCCGTCCCCTGCCCAGCGGACTCGTCCTCCAGCCTCCGCCTGGCTCGCTCCCTCACCCTGTCCAGTCCGCGCTCACGGAGCTCGCGTTCCGGGGGGAAAGCAGGCCGCCCGCGAGGCCGGTGGTGAGAGCCCTGCCAGAGCCGGGAGAAAGGCGGAGGTGGCCGGGGGGGGGGACGGGGGGCGTCACCCTCTCCCCTCCACGTTCTCTGCACTCAGAGTTTCCATCGCAAGGGGTAAGAAAAGGGTGGGGGTGGAGGGGGACGAAAGCACAGCTGGACAGACAGCACTTCCCCTAGGCACTGCCGCGATGCCCTGAGCCCGAGGCGGAAGGACGTCCCTTCGTGGAAATGGGAAGTCAGCGTGTGGTGGGCCACTGAAGGTGACCAGGGTTGGGATGGGAAGCGTTGCTTTGGGTTCTTTCAAAGGCCGAGTCTGGGCCGGAGCTTACGCTTTGCTGGGAGGGGTGAATCCAGGGCAGCCGGAGTGAGGGAAGGGGAGGGCGGGAAGGCCCGGGGGCTCACGTCAGATGACACCCTAACGACAGTGCGGCTCACAGACGCCTGGCAGGTCGCGGAGCCCCTTGAGACCTCGTCAGAAAGACTATCAAGAAAAGAAAGGACAGGAGGGCGGGAGGAGAGAGAAGCTTCAAGACAGTTCGTTCAAGCGGAGAGCGGGCTTATCAGCTGGTTCCTTCCCCCGTCCCCTCACCTGTGGTCATAGTTCCCCCCAGGGGTGCCTCTCCCTCTGGTCCAGTTGCTTCACCCTTGGCAGTAGTCAGAGAAGCACAGGCCCACCCCATGGTGCGGCACTTCATTCAAGGAGCCAGAGACGCCTGGTGGCCTCGTGTGAAGCGAGGAGGACCACGTGGTGTGTGCCCGGCAGCGCCCAGGGAGGAGCAGGTGGCTCCAGGGCTGCGGAGAGCGAGGCCAAGGGGTTCCGCATCCGCACCACGCACGGGGCTCGGGGCTGAGGTCAGCTATCACCCTCACCTGGATGCAGCCTTCCCTGGCCCCCTCCCCAAAGCTT